TGCCTTACGTGCTACAGCAAAATGTATCCAATTATACAGTTGTGCTTTATTGTGATCTTAAAATTTATTTAACCAAACCAAAACCTCTCATGTGATTATTTATGATAAAAAAAATTGTTTATGATAATTTTTCTTTACAGTAATTTTTTTTATATAAATGATCAATATTTCACAATCAAAAAAGTTATGATTGTAGATAATTAATTTCTCAAGAGAATGAGAGGTTTTGGATCGAAATAAGAAATCAATTATATAAGTTAACAAGCGTTTAGTAGTTTTTTTTTTAAATGGCTATATTCTTATAAATAATTGAGCGATTCGTTCAAACAAAATTTTTTCTTGATTTGGCCACACTATAGGTTTATAATTTATTTGTAATATTATCGTTATGTTATCGTTAAGTATTTAGAAGACTTGATAAAAAATTTTGTTTGAAACGTGCACTCTAGCGTAAAAAGAGTGTCCTATACAACCTTAATCTAAGTCATCAGCTTAAGCATTCAACCCAAAACTACAAACAAAGTTTGAGCATATTTGGAAGATAATTACTTGAGTTAGTTAAAAAACTTGATAATGTACACACATACACCATGTGTCTAACTCAAATCACCCTCATACAAGGATCAAAATTTATTTTATTTTGAACTAGCCCTCTCCCTCTGTCTTAGCTTTGCCCAAGACTCACTGAATGTGGGAATATATTTTTAAGTCAATCTGTTAACATACCCTTACAATATTTGTTTGATAAAAAAGTAAAATAATATATCAAATAATAAGTAATATAAGTAACATATTTTTTTGCAGTTCCTTGTTTCTACAATGTTTTTACCTGCAAATACACCAGTAATAGAATTACGAGGCAAGTATATGTTAAGCACACAGCATAAGGTTTCTATCTTATCACAGCAACGGCAACATTTACAACAACCTGGATCTTTCGTTTTCTTTTATCGCCTGCCGCAGGATGGGATAGAAGTATGTGTTGATACAAGAACTTATGGAAATAATGCACGGTTTGTTCGTCGCAGCTGCAAACCTAATGCTGAAATTAAGCATTGCATCGAGAAAGGTGTATTACATCTTTACATCGTAACGAGTATGATAATTGAAAAAAACAGCGAAATCACCATAGGGCATAATCAGCACGGTGCGATTGTTTCAAAAAATTATAATACTACACATCAGACGCCCAAGTGCAACTGCAACAATGCGAAAACGTGTGAATTACAAAATTTCATGATTAGATCTCTGGATAGTAAAGTAGACAGTGATTGTTTATACGAAAACATTGTGTAAGTTCTCAAATTACATTTGTTAAGATATTTGTGTAACCTTACATTCTATACTACTTTTAAAAACAAAAATAATCTTCTATGAATCTTAAATATACGTAAGTATTTTTTACTAGAGTCCCCCCCCCCGTCGCAGCTTTGCCTATGATCACTGAATGAAACACCGTAGTGGGTTGACACGTAGTGTAAGACGTTTTCAGTTAAAAATTTTACATCTATTCTTGACACTTTTTGGGACAAAAATCTTCTTATTGAAAACATTTGTGTTCTGAATTCATGCAGTTTATTTGATCAAATAATAAGATGTGAAAAGTAAAAAAAATATAATGACGCTAAAAATTATCGTGGGTTCCTCGCGCCATGAAGTAATTGTTTACCCTAAAGGGCCGTTAATTTTCACTTTCTCGCGTTATAATAAATGTAAAGGGCTATTGGTTAAAACTGTAAAGATTTGATCTAACGAAAAATATGTGATTGAAAAATTTTTTTTTTCCAATCTCACAACTTTATTACCAGATCAACCAAGTCCTAGAGCCAAATATCTCTATTTTCTATCGTGCCAATGAATACAAATGCGTATTATTCTACCTGTTTTAAAATCTAAGCTGATCTCTCACTTTATGGATTCCTTATTTGTCGATTTTGACGCTGCTGTTTTAATCTCGATAAATGTTCTGTATCAGTTTCTTGACACCTAAAATCGTATACATTTGAAGCATTTATGGTACCTCCTTTTTTGTGGAGCTTAGTCGTTTTGGTAATGTAAGGTGAGGAGATTGGTTCGTGATGCTTATCTGTTAGTGACTGTCCTATTTGCTCAAGTATTTTCATTTTTTCTTCACAGCTTCACTGTCAGGTTCGCCCATCACAAACCTTGCAGAGGATTGGTGATTACTGGTTGAATGCTTGAAAGAGTATTGCAAGGCTGTCGAAACTCGGGATGTCGATCGTGAAGTCTGACAGTGGATGATTGACTAGGTTTAATAGTGACTGATTTATAGTCTTTTAGTGGAAGAATCGTTGCCAAAAATAGTTGTAAAAATGTATTTGTTGGCAAGGTAGTTAAACGTTTGATGGCTCTAAAAAGAGCCAGCTGCGGGTAGCTTGACTTTTACCCTCAGAGTTTTTGCATACGAAGACCGTACTAGAAGGAGGTACGCTGCTGCCCGAAGAATATCTTGTCTTTGGGTCATACCCCTGATAATCAACCGTTCACCGTTGGTCAGGGAAGTGGGCCCTGGAGAATACCTCCTCTATGGGTGTATCATCTGCCTGAATGCCTCAGTGTTGTTTTCCCTTACTTGATGTTGTATCAAACTAAAGTGAAAAGCTACTGTATTTTTTCAAAACCTTAAATTTGGTTATTGCTATTGTTATTAATTTTTTCAAGATAGAAACTGTACTAAAACTATCTAAGAAGTGTCAAGAATTAGTATGCAAAATTTCAGCAAAATTGGTAGAATAGTTTTCGTGGTTAGCGATTACAACGGTTTTTGGGACTTTGATAAATATATTCGTGAGATAGCCATAACCACAGTTGCAGAAAATTATGTACTTGACTGTTTTGATTTTATCATACATTAGAAATTAGAGGACGCAGCACTATTGAAGGAAAATATTAAGTATCATATAAAATAAATGTCAAATTGTTAAACCTTGTATACATTATACTCAGGATTTAATATTTAGAAGTTATACTTCTGTAGATGCGTTGTTTTCAGGGGTAAACCAACGGTTCCTAAATTTTCGCCCTTAAAAAATGTGTGATGGATGTCTGGAATTTATACGTCTAGACGTTCCGCAAATTAAAAAAAAATGTACATAAGTAAGTTTTTTAATTTATTTCTCAATTTATTTTCTAACATAAAAAAAAAAACAACCGACGGGATTCCAAATTATGCCATCATGCATACCAGCTAAGCTCTATATCCACTTAGTCACAAGGTATCTTCGTGAGGAGATAGACTCTCTGTTCCCCTAATAGTTGAGTTCGTAACTAATTCTATGATTCAATAAAGCAATTTTTTTCAGAATTAATAAACAATATTTTGTAATAGAGTTTTAACATCAATAAATAGTTTTGCATTCGGTTTTTATCATACTGTTAATTTCAAAATGAATTAATAATCGTTTACTGAGTTTATTTAATTTTTTTAATTGAAAAAATTTTTTTATGCAACATTTTTTATTATTTTCATATATTTTGTATAATTAGTTGATTGATAAAATTTTCTATGCATAAATCATTTAACCATCATTGCGTCTCATTTTTTTGAAATATTTTCGTTTGTGTATAAGGTGATATTATGAGTTACACTAGGTTAACTGATATGTAATACTACCCAATTTAAGACGTAGTGGTACTACAGGATATTGTTTTAAAGCTTTTTTTTAGCTATACGTTGTGAACGTTGTATACGTAAGTAATAATAAGTTTGAGAGTATATGTGGAATGTGTGATTGTGACCTTAGATGGTGTGAACGTTATGTATTTATTATTTATTTAATAAGTATTGAAATTACCACACTCATTTATCCCGTTCTCCTCGTTCCTACGATAGTTGTACCCCCTCCGATACATCGCAGTAGATTATTCATATTATTTTATAAAAGGTACTTTATAATGTCTAACCTAAGAAGTATAATTTCTTTCCAAGGTACCCAATAACCCAATAACGGAATCACCCACTGACTTCTGGTTTTTTTCACAGTAAGGGCTTGTCGCTTATGTTTTATTTTAATAAAAATAATGATGTCGTATATTAACATTGCCAGAAGCTTTTTGCCAATTCAGTTTCTTTCTAAGAAAATTATTTTTTATCTGTTAGTCCAACGAATGCGAAAATAACTACTATAATAAATTAAATCTCATCTAGTGTCATCCAGTACATTTTTAGTCACAAACTAAGAAAAAGTATCCGCGCAAAAATCCTCATACATCCACGGTGCAATCACTCACAAACACACACACACACACACACACACACAAATCCGCGTTTGTACCAGTTTGGTGTTGGTTTTGAAATAAGGTCAAGAGTGACAAATTATTGAAAAATCGCAGAGATCTTCAAAATATTTTTTTGTATTTTTTTATCACTCAACGTGGCTTTTACTATTGTCCAATAGAAAAAAAATTGAAAAAATAGAATAGTTCTGTGCTCAAACACTCACAAACATACACAATGTATATTATAGCGGTATGGGTTCAGGTCAAACTAATACGTTTCTTTGCATTCTTTGAAACCTCCATAAAATGTTTTTGGGTTATGGACTACGAGCACACCTGAGGTAACGCCAGCAATATTAGATTGCTAAACCGGATTTTCTAGTAAACATTAGATCTTACGGGAATATTATACTTTAAATTTTTGCATATCAGTGATAATTAATTTAAGGCAAAGATGCTTTTTTATTGCATCCATACGTAGTTATACAGTTAGATGCTTTTAAGATGTTAATATGACTCCAATAGGTGTGCAAGCCATATAGATATATTAATCATCATATTAATTGGAATAGACAAATGGTAGTACCATACAGGTATTTTTAACTAAGGTCTCCGAAATTCATCCATGACCTTCTCGATGAAAAATATTCTGAAAATTGAAAATAAAAGTTATAATATTTTTTATTTCAAAAAATTTTCTAGAAATAAGTTGGAATGTGAAAAATATCTTTCTTGGGTGCGGATCATATACACAACCTCCTGTTTGACAGTTGCTCTACCAATTGAACTACTGAGAAGCCATTATTCACTTGTACCGCAGCTTTAGATACATTTTTAACTGAGACTAGACATAGGTTTTTAGCTGCTTCTAAAGTGCGCTCACATGCTCACTTGATCTGTCATGTTACACATATTTCAAGCTTTGAGAAAAAGTACAATTTTCTTAGTCTTGCAATTTTTTCTAAAATGCATCTGTATATTATTTATAATTTGTAAGTTCTTACCAGCCTTTGTTTAACTTTCTTAGTTCTTATAGTTTCAATTCACTATCTTACTTGGCTGTAGCATCCAATTTTTTTTTTTTTTTTTTTTTTTTTTTTTTTTTGTTGTACTATATTTTACTTTAAAAGGCACAAAGAAATTTTGAAGCGATAACTTAGATAAATAATTGAAAAAAAATTTAATTAACTTAATTATGTCATAAAAACATTTTAAAAAATTTTTTAAACAATCTGGTTTTTCTAGAAAAAAGGTAAAAAAAAATTTTACCCAGAGTTTTAAGGTAAAGGTTTCAAATTTGATCTAATCACTGATATTACCGAAAAATACGCATTCAACATTTTTTTATGAATTTGTGTGCGTAACGAGGCTAAGGTGACAAGAAAAATATCTAATGTTCTATTGGTTTAGGTTAGAATGGAGACGAAAACATGAAAGTAGCTTAAATTAGGTTTAAGATAATTATATTGTAAAATTCTTATAAAATTAGATGTTGAAAAGAATTCATTGAGTTTAGGCGAATTTTGTTTATTACTATATCAGACTTTTGTAAAGCATATTTCACGGCCTCATCGCATTACAAGGAGACAAATATAATGGAGCCTAGTCGTCAACAAATGAATCAAAACATCAACAAAGTGGTGCAAGAAAATTTTTTACCTAAACATGAGATAGTACCGTTCTGCAGACTATTGTAATAATTAGTCATAATCGTTGGTTTTTTCATATAATTTATGGTTTAACTTTGCTGTCAGTGACACATGCTGGTGGCTTCTATGCATTGGAGACAGTTTCTATTTAAATGAAATATCACGAACTGCTTTCTGTGAAGGAGTTCCACGGCCCGGAAACAGGTGACTGAAGTTTCTCTCCTGCTCTCTCACTGTTATACCTCTCCTTACCGCCGTCTCTTAACCAAAAGGAGGTTCGCGCCGAGCTCCCCCGGCTCCGGGAGGAAGGGAAAAAAAAACAATTGGGATTAATAGATTTAACGCGGGATCAAGGTTTAATAAAGCACTATATTCTCCTTTTTCTTTGTTACAATACACCAATC